GCAAGGAATATGAGATTGTCATAGATCTTGAAATCCATTTGAATATATAATACAGATGTACATATATCCAGCTGAATAGAGTATATTCACAGCTTGATTCTCTCTTGGGAATGTGTATTACTTATTATTATTAGGAAATTAAAATGACACATGATACTATTTTTTAAAGTACCCGTTCAGTGAGCGTGATGTGACACTGAGCAGAAACTCTTCGAATCACTCATGTTCAGGTATAGACAATGGAGACCCATGTGCCCCCGACAGTCTTTAACTAGGCTTTTGAAGCTACAAGTTAATTCTCGCCAAAACAGAGAATGGAGGAAAGGTACTTCTTCTAGCGTGAGATAAACTGAAGTTTGAGGCCTCACTTTAAGAACCGGGTCTTTCATTTTTTATAATAATGCAACTGATAACATGTTTTGTTTAACCCTTCCTGATAGAAAGGGAAGTAACTGCAATAAAAAAATAAATAAAAAAGGGAGGAAGAGGAGGAGAAAGTAGGGAAGATAATGTCAATTACTGTTTTCCAACTTTTATTTAATAAATTAAGCTTTTATCTCTTATTTTCTACTCACACTCTCATTTTTTATAGTACTCTTATAATAAATAATTGGGGGAAACTCATTAGATTTTCAAGTGCATTAAAACTCAAGAATCCAGAAGTCTCTACGAAGTGTAAGAGTATACAATGATGCCAGTTTCTCTGAAAGGCAAATATATGATTAAAAACTGTTTAAATTCTATTTTCTATTTCACCTTGATTTACATCATAAAATAGGAAATTAAAGTAATGTATTTTTAATATGTAAAGTTAACTGGAATCAATATAGAATGTTAGGGAGAAAGACAACCACTATATGATTTCTCTTTCTTTATGTTTTGATCTTATCTGCCTCATAAACACATTATATAAATTGGAAGGAATAGCCTTATAGAAATATTTTTTATATTCTGTCTCTAGAAAGAGCAGCACAATGAATAAAACCTTCATAAGATTATTCATAATTAAACTTCCTAAATTTAAGTAGCAATGGTGAGTATACTCTATTTTTACATCCAGCCATTTGCAAGTATCGGTGATTTTGCTTTGAAAATTCAATTTCACTTTATAATAAAACTTATTCGACAAATAAAAAGAATCTAATTGTTTACAAATAAAAGGCATAAAGCAAATAAAGAAACAAGCACAATAAAGAAGTGATTTGAATCCAAGATTTGACCAATGTCAATATTACCACACAGAAGCAATTATGGCAAGTTAATCCATACTTACATGATGGGTTATTTGGAGTTTTTCTATCAATGAACTCATTGAAATTTAAAAGAAATTCAGTGTTGTTATCCGATATTTTAATGTCATTGCAGTAATCTCTGGAAAAATATTTTAAGATATTAGGTACTAAAATAAAAATGGAAAAAAACAAAACATGGGAGATGGGGATAGTGAAAACATGGACATTATGTTTTATCTCTATAGCTTTATGAGCTATTTAATTTCTTGCTACCTCCATTTGCTTATTTGTAAAATGAAATAGCCAGTGAATTGTGAAGATTATGGATAATATTTACTAAGCATTTGTCCTTTGGCCAGCCAGTGCTCAAAAATA